CGTGACAACGAAGAATTGTCTAAGCAATTATATTAAGCGTAGTGAAATTACAGAGAATCAGTTTAAAATAAATCGTGCTGTTATGTACCACAAAACGTCATATCAAATCTTTATTCTGCCTCCAATGGGAAACAATATGCCTATATAACAGTACTGTACTTTATAATCAAATTTGTTTCATTTTTAGTAGTAATTATACAGGGATTAATATCAGTTACGTCCAAGTAAAATTAGCCACGTTATTTATTAGTGGTAGTTAAACATTATAATATTTGCGCATGCGTGATGAAATTCACTTCACACAACAATTATCACGCTTGCAATGTTAAGCATACGATTTAAATTGTGCAAACATATTTTTTGCAATATTATTTTTTTAAATATTGAACCGGTGACATACGCCACCAACAGTTCTACAAACAAAACGTGCAGTAGCAATGTTTTAGACAGACAGTAATCGGTTAGATGGGGATGTTGATTATTACATAGAACAGCATCCTTTGAAATATCCATACTGGACAACAAAAACGCTCATATAAATAGTTCGTGTTAATGACAAAACAGTTACATTCGCAAGAAGGCGTCACACTGGCACCAGTAAATGTTAGAACACAAAATCAGGCATGAGTTAAATACAGGAGAAAGGGTGAAAGGATAGTTGTTACTAAAATCACAGAGGTAGTGATATAATGTAATATAGAGATAGATAGACACACGGAGAAGAAGGGTGTGTTAATATTTTATTTCAAAAGGGTGATTGTGTGCGATTTAAAAAGGTGGAGTTTGTACCATGATATTGCTCAACGGGGATAGCTGGTAAATGATAGAGGTTTGAGCGAACCGCCGCCTGTGTGAACGGCAAAGGAGGAGACGGAATTCATTTTCTGGTGCCAGGTCAGGACGAAGAAAACAACAACGGCTAACCACATCACAACCAAAGCGCAGAACAGAACAACTCCTCCGGTAGACATGTTACCTCTGCGATCTGTGAAGATATGATTAACCTACTTAATCGGGTAATACTAATAATAATGATGATAAAATAATGTTAAAAATATTAAATAATTATATTAATTTTTAATAATATAAATTATACCGCGCACATATATTTTGGTATCCTATTTTACGATTCCAAATATAATTATTATGAGAATTCATTAGACCTAAGCGTTTGCTATTATAATGCCTTTAATACATTGAACAAGTTAATGTACTGTACTTGCCGTGGTTTGTATTTTGGGCGAATCGAGTGGCAGAGCGGCAAGGCAGCTGTGGCTGGTGGCATATCTAGGGGTTACGCGGGGGCGGACTCCCCCACAAAACAGCTAGCCCTCCCAAGTCGTTCCACCCCACATTGAAAATGTCCCAAGCAAAAAATGTGACGCTAAAGTATTTAAAAACCACCTCGTATCACCTTATTTTGCGACCAATAGCTCCCACTCACATAATCATCGAACAAATTAACTTCCATTCGTTTTGTGAATTTTATGTTTTAATATTTTAAAAGGACCAAGAGTGCCAAAACCTAAATGCACTGAAAAGAAACATCCTAGCGTTGTATAACGGAAGTATAAGGCCTAAATGCAAAAAGAAATGTCCTAGACCATGCGATCTAAGAACGAACGAAGGCGTCACCGCAATTCACAAGTGTTCACCACTGTAAATACAATAGAGGTTGTCGTTAAAAGTCCCATGGATATATCCAGGCTTACACATCAACTAGAAAAGTTATTATAATATACTGCATAAACTGTTTGTCAACATTATTCCACTTCATGTTAAAAGTCCACACTGTGCATATTAAACACAAATAGTGTGAATGCATCCCTCTACTTTAATCTTCAAATCAATTTACTTTAATATTCAAGCAGACATCGAGAATGCAGATATGAACACCCTCACACCCACACTGCGATGCTATTTTTTTTAAAAATGTGACACAAGTTGACGGTAATTGGTTTGACACAAACGATGTAAAAGAATACACAAATAATATTTTTACCATTTTAATTTTTTCCATATATATATATCTGTCTCTTATACACATCTAGATGTGTATAAGAGACAGACATATAATTAACATCATCCGCATCATCATTTTTATCATTAGTATTGTGATTATTATTGTTTTTAATATATTAATTTTTATTTATTCAGTATTATCATTATTCAATTAGGCTTATTATAAATATTGTTACCAATGACGTTTTGATCACTACATTTTCTATAATTTCAAATATAGTGTACGTGTAACAAAAATCTTGGTATTTTTAGGATACTGCGAGACTGAAAATATTAATTTTGTATGGTTTATCAGCTTCTTAAAATAACTGTTAACCAAATACTGTAAATAAGCCTTATGAAAAACATGATAGCCAATATTCGCCTGTCAATATCGTTGCGTGGAATCGCAGATTAGAATTCATAACAAAAATTCATCTTAGTCGAATCAATACTAGAGAAATAAAATCCAGACAATGCAGCACCATTAGAAGTAGAAAACAAATTACTGATTAGTCATTGTATTGCATATATATTATGAATGCTTACCAAGTAACTATGCTGAAATGAATAATAATAATAATAATAATAATAATAATAATAATAATAATAATAATAATAATACGATTCCGACGCAACTTGTTATAAAGCTCCAATTCATCAAATTATAAACCACATCGACCTCCCACAGAAAAAAAAAAGAATTATGAAAACGTACTTGGGTCTTAAGGTGCATTTTACACCAGATCAGAAATCCTACCTAGCCGATCAGAAAATTGGATCAGTATGTAAGAATAGGAATGTTTCGATCAGTACATCAGAAACGCTGCAGCCCGAATTTTGGTTCGCTTCCGACGTGAATGCAGCTTTAATTGGGTAGCTGGGAGCGATTTTATTTTTGGGTCCGCGCAAGGCGCTGACCCAGAGCCTCACTGCTTCTTGTTCTTATTACCAAAAACTTTAAAAGCATCCAGCGTCGCCAGTTTTGAACGGACGTGAAGGTGTACACATACTCTAGAGGTGATTTCCAACAAACGTTCATCGCCCTATTTTTAGCTTGGTCCCCAGGGTTCCCCCTAAACCTAAAAAACAAAACAGGGGTCTTAGAAAGGACATTACTGTCATTACCACTAATAAAGCACTAAGCATGGATAGCGCGGTCGGTTAAGGATGTGTTCTAAAGAACTTAAGGTTGTGAATTCTTTTTTTTTTTTCAATTTTAAGAAATTTATTTTTTTTTCAATTTTAAGATATTTTAATTACGTACAAATGAACATTATAAATAATATTTTTTTTTGTACAAATAAACATCTTAATTATTTAAAAAAATTCTATCAATTTAGCTCTTCCAAAAAACCCAAAATATAACTTGCGCCTGTGTACCGAGGAACGCGCGGACCGGTTAGCGGTCGCTCTTGTTGCTGCGAAACGTTTGTGGACTAGCGTGTAATCCTGGCCAAACATGTTCACATTGGTCGGTTGATTGACACTGGAACGGTCCATAATAGGCCTACAAAGATAATGTTTAATATACAAAGGTAAGATTACCAAACCATAGCGAGGTTAATGGATTTTGAAAGCGAAGAACCGAAGAACCCCTAATTTTTAACACCCTATTAAGGGCCACCCTATTAGGGGACATTTTTGACAAAGGATAGTATATAGCCAACCCCTATTCAGGGAACACCAGTATTTAAGGGGACATTTTTCTTTTTTGGTCCTGACGGTGTCTCCTTTTTGGGGTTTAACTCTATCTGGAACATGCGACCTGGGTAAATACCGTGAACACTGTAATGCAGCATAAAAGATAGAAGTGAGGAGGTCATTAAAACGACGCAGAAAATCCTAGTTAAGCAGTTACCAGTATCACAAGTCCTATATAGGATCTGTTCCAGTATCAGCATGGGAAAGGAAAGTAAGCATCGCTTTTCTACTTCACATCCAAGTAAATTCATCTAAAAAGAGAATTTTATTCTAACATATACATGATTTTTCATAATCAAACACAAAAACCTTTTTAAAAAGATACGATTTGCATACAGTATAGACTGTAATTATACCTGTCATATGACAAACTAACAAATTTTTTTTTGGAAGGACATCATCAACTCGATGTTTTTTGTGACACTTATTCATACCTAACACATTCACCGGTCCCAATCGATATTCTTTCAAGGCAATACATTAATTTTATCCAACTATTTTCACAGGTAAAATATCGTGTTGAAACACAAGGGAACGAGTAGGACGTTAGCGGGGGATAATACAATCTATAAATACATTCTAAAGAAAACCGACACTGACATTACTTTTGATGTTATTGTAAAATAAGATGATTGTGCAATGCTTAATTCGGAAAAAATACAGTACATATACAGGCGCCTACATTATATATAGCATTTGCGAAACAGGATTCGATACGTAAAAAATATACTATGAGTAAAAGTGTAAAAATATACAATAAATCATATTTAATATATATATATATATATATATATATATATATATATATAAATTGACATTGTACAAAATTTATGTTAACGAGATAAGGTATGTAAATTGAAAAGAAACTAGCTCCTTTTTAGTGCCAATTATTGTAAATTAGTACTTCTTTTTTTGTTTCAATAAATGCTGTTCTAAAACTACATAACTTGTAATCCTAATTCATTCATTGTTTAAGCGCATGGGTCAAAGAATAAGCCAG